TCTGTTCTAAAAAAGAAAAAGCACCTGTTCTTGTAGCAATGACATTATCACAGGATATTCTTCAGAAAAAAATAGTATGGGAAGAAAGCACTTATTTTCATATTTGCTCAGATAGCTTGCTAGTTACATTCATAAGATTAATGGACTGACCTTGGTCATAGCTTATTTTCTAAGTTTAGGGTAAATAATGTAGTATCTACATCACAGTATTTAATTAAATAAAATGCTCAGTCTGGCTCCATAAAAGTGATGAAGCTTGTATGCATGGTGTTTATGCAAGACAGAGTTTTTGACTGTACTTTGTCCAAGGTGTCTTCAAATGCAATGTCACCTGCCTCCTTCTAGAAGCAGTGCTCTGACTAATTAAGTCTGTGCAACTGTTCCCATTGGAATTAAACCTCAGCAAAAGAGATGTAAAAGGTTGCAGAAGGCTATATCATAATTATTACTCATGCTGATTTGCACTCTGCTTACATAAAGCAATATGCTTCTCAAGAGCTGCAAATGCTTCTCAAGACTGCAAATATCTTGCTAATCTATAGCTTTGCTGTTTTGTGCAGTACCAGATGTCTTTTATTGTGGGAACTCTACTATGTATTTGAATAATGTGTCACTACAGGCCTTATTGTTCTCTTTTGAGCAGAGTGAACAAGAGAGTACTAAATCCTTTGAAGAGTTAGGAAATGACAGTAACTAGTATAGTAGTACTCCACAGCTGATGAAGAACCAGATGATCTGGTTTTTTTAGGTCCTGAAAGCACAGATGGACCTGTGATGAGTTTAGTGAGAAAAAAGACAAAGGAGATTTCTTCTGTTCTTGTAGTTTCAAAACAATTAGAATGTAATACTCCACTTCAAGAGATTTGCTAGCTGCTCAGAACCATGCCTCTAATTTTCTGCCTACGCTGCTAACCTTTTTTACATTATCTCAGCACGTATCTGCTTCCTCCTTTGCAAAACTTCTTGACATCTGAGAAAGACTTACTCTTCTCTTTGTAAATTGTTTTGATATCTAAGGATAAAAAAAATGAAGGTCACCATGTAAATATTCAACAGACTGGTATGGTGATGCTTCAGTTGCAAAAGTAAAGCTCATATGTGGTGAATGAGATGTACATTTTCTTTGTCATGCATGCCCATTCCCCTGTGAACAATAAAGAGAACCCTCAATTTTTGCTGTTAGGTAAGGTTGAGGCTTTGACGAATTTGGCGCTGAAAAATGCTCTTTTGCCAGTGCTAGTGGAGAATTTGATCAGTGCATCACAAGAAATTTTGGTGTAGGTCACACAGATTGTCAAGCACATTCCATGACATCTTTTGACAGCAGCCAGTTTGATCAGACTTTGGGCTGCACCTTCCTGCATGGGGACTCTTGTGAGCGAGGTGAACTTCGGTGAGAGTCAATCAGTCTGGGTGGTGGCAGAGCTCTGAAGTGTCTCCTCCTCTTCTGCCAAGTCACTTTCTCAAGCACTGGACAGCTGGCTTGAATATCTCAAAGCAAGAAATTGTATGAGATCACAGTGCAGCTCTGGGCTTCATCACCCAGATTTCTTGTGTGACTGTGCCAGAGCAGAAGGTTTGGCTTGCTTGAGAGGAACATCCCTGTGAAATATGGGCACTTTGAAATGAAAGTGGCTGGATGGGGGAGAACAGAGAGGACTGAGTGCAGAATTTATCCTGTTGTGCATTTCACATGATGAAGTTTCCCTTACTAAAGTGACCCAAGCCAAAACAAAAAGAAGGAGCAGAGGGAACTGAGAATTTTTGTGGTAGAACTGTGCTTCACGTGCTGTTCTGCATTATGAAATGAATCCAGCTGTATCCAGCAGACTGTAATTAACTTTTATTAAGGGGAAAATAATAGTTCTACAATACAGAAGACTATTTAAAAAATGAAGTATCTTGGCTGGTTTTAATCCCAAATGCACAAAAGATCTAGACTACAAAACATTCCAGTGGCTTGAAATATTCCAATTGGAAAAAAAAAGAAAAAAAGAGAATTAATTTATTTTTGACATGTGAAAAGACATCACTGCATCCTTAGGTTTCATTGCCTTTATTTGTGCGGGAATAAATTGAGATAATTTTGGTTTGAAGTCATGAAAAAATTACAGTCCCGAGGATGAAACCTTGACTGTGAATATCAGTGTTGAGTGAAATACTTCCAGCTAAATTGCTAACCTCTCTAAATACTCCTTTAGCTGAATGAACCAAATCTGAGAAGGAGAATGCTGATTTTGGGCTTAATATCAGCAGAGCATCTGTCTATGTGGCAGAGATTATGTCATCAGGGAATGTGGACTTGGAAGCCCTCATCAGCTTGCCTCCTACACTTAAAAAATGGCTGTTACTTGCATCCTGTGGTTAAGTATTTAACTTACCCTTGTTTGCTTTAATTTCCTCATACAAATTCTCTCTAGTACTTTTTTTTTCTCTTTTTTTTTTCTTTTTTCTTTTTTCAACTTTGTTAGTAAGCTAATCTTGCTTTTCATTTTCATCTAGCAGTTCTTGAAGCTGCTGGAAATCTTGAAGGTAACTGTATTCCTACAACTTCTATGGCAACCAGTTGCTAAGAAGAGAGAAGAGGTCCAAAGTATTGCTTTCATAAAGGAGAGACAGGAAGCCGGAAATGTCTATACATTTTATCTCATCTGCAATGCTCTTTCTTTTACAGAGGTGAGCACTTCATAGTGGGGACTGTGGAAAATTACTTTGCTGCAGCTAAGCAAGGGAAAAAGAGTTGTATTTTGAAGTCTTACCAAGTAATATCTATTTTTACAATTTTTCAGCAATGTGAATCAAATAATTTTGGAAAAGTACTAACACTTTCCTCTGCCCCCAGGAAAAGGTAGAGAATGACATTTATCTATTCCTTGTCTTAGGAGTTGTGTATTTCTGCCTCAGAACTGATGGACTGAATTTTGTTCGAAATCACATTTTTCCTAGATATACAAAAGAGTGAGGAATAAATAAATCTGACAAAATTTGCAAGGATCTTTAAGGGTGTAAACTGTACCCAATTTGTTTAAGCTTTAAAGGAGACTTGGCAAAGAAGCTGCCATCCAGGATCTAGAGAACAAAAAGATCTAACACAGTACAAAACCGTCTTCTTTTAAATTCAGCTGTTCTTCAAGCTGAGTTATATGATAAGAATTCTGTTCTTTTGCTACTGCTATGTACTTTTTATTGAGAAATAACAAATTCTGAGAGCCATCTTAACTTTCTTCTTAATGGAGCCTAAAAGAAGACTGTGGGAAATAGTGCTTGAGAAACAAAGCATTTGGCCTAGTATTAGTAATTTGTCGCCGTATCATCATTTTTTTAAGATTGTTGTCCAGGGTAAATCATAAACTTATGAAGTACAGAACTGAATCCAAAAACATTTCTACTTTACAGAACAACCATATTGCCAAGAGGCAGACTTAAGATCCCACTCTGTTAGCAACACTGACTCTGAAACAGAGAATTCAGCTCATCCTCCCCACCAAAAAAGAAAACAAATGTTTTGGACCAATGTTAAAATACTCATTGCATAAATAAATCACTCCTACATATTCTTTCCTAATCCTCCATGATCTAGTATAGACAAAAGCACCTAATATTTTTTGAGCAAAATGGTGCATCTAGTGGAGATTTTAGGCCATAAACACAGAAAAAGCTCTGTAACTAAAGGCCTGTGGCATAAGTATTAAAGAATGTTCAGCTCCTTTTTGGTCTAAAAGGTAAATGCTTTAATTTCTGGTACTCATCCTTGTTAGGGAGTGTATGCAACGAAGGTTAGAGTTCCCAGAGCGAGAACACAGCCTCTACTACAAAGAACATGTGGTCTGAGACAAGAACCCCAGGGCTCCTGGCCTGCCAGGCTGACAGAGAGCCACTAATCATTTGCCTGCAGATCATAACGTCCTCAGTGTTGTGGCCTGTTTGCCTGCAAAGACTGGGGACAAGCAGACAAGCTAAACTGGGAGAAAGGGAAACTGGAAACTCCTAGCTCACAGCCTAGGCTTCAGCACAGCCATCCTACCTATTTCTCTCTGTACCTGCTTTCTGTTTGGGGTCAACTTCAAGATCTGTGTGTTCAAATAAGGACCAGTTCTATATATAACACACTTGCTTAGGTTGCCCTGCAGTGCCAGAAGTATTTTCTCCAGGATATCTGTGTTACTGACTCATTTCATCATTATTCTTTCTCATCTCTTGCTGGTTAATGGCTTAGCTGTTTCCAGCTGGTACTCTACTGAGTTTGCAATTCATTAAGTATCAAGTAACTTTTAAAACAGCTCTCATAGTTTGATCTTGCCAGTTACCCACAAACTCCAGCTTTGTGCTCCTGTTTAATTTTCATTGTAAAAAAGTCCAACTGAGGAGTGAATTTTTTAAAAGAAAAACTGTCTGTCTTTGTGGAGGAACAGGAAGGAAATATCCCAGAAGCACTTAAGTAGGAGACATGACTCAGATCGAATATGTTGTTTTGTTTCTCGGATTTTCAGCCTTCAGAATCTTCTACAAACCATTGTTCATTTAAACGTAAATCTGCAGGTTTTCTGGGGCTTCATGGAGGTGGCCCACTTGGTGTGCGGTATCTGCTGCAATACAGAGGCACAAAGGTGGGTAGCTACAGTATTTTGTCAGGGAAAGGAAAGTAAGGGATGCCAGGGTGAAGGACTGGACACTTCCTTCCTGATTCCTCTGTGCCTATACAGTGCATAAGCATGCACTTTCACATCTGGGATCTAAGGTGCATTCGAGGTTATATCCAGGAGTTTGAGCTGAGGGCCCAGCAACTCCTAGATCACTTCACACAGAGCAGAAAAGGGAATTGGCTGGTTTCTCAGGAGAGGGCATCAATTTAGGCTAGTGAAAAGTTTTTCTGGTGAACAGCCTGCTGCAAAGGTCTGCATGGCAAAGCACCATCACAATGCACATTTGGGTGAGCAGTACATCCTGGGAGAGACAAGAAACTTGTCAAATATCTAAAGCATGAAGTTTGGACTCTACTAGACACAAGCAGTTCCCATACAGGAAGGTCCCTGGTGACAATGGCAAATTCTGCTTTTATTCGGAACCAGAAAAAATGAAGTTTGCTCATCCTGGCTCAGCATCAGCAAAATCATAAGTTCCTGTGTGGTCTGAGATTAAAAATATCGGCTCAAACTGATTTTCTGTTTGGATTCCGTTCAACAGCCTTTCCAAAATGGAATTAAGCTCTGGAGGATCTGCCCATTCTCAAGTGTACCAGTGTGCTTGGATGGTAAGAGAAAGAATTTTAATTCCTCAGTTGATTTTCATTTCAATTTTGCTGTGCTTTGCTGCATTACTATTGCATAAGCCAGTGTTACTACTCCCTTGTCTCTCATCAGCATCACTAGGATAAGCAGGCTGGCCACAGCTTAACCTTTTGGTTAAGGCCCCTTCTTTGTAAGATCACCCCTGTGTTTTTCCCTCCACGGCAACAGAGAAGCCAGTGGCTGACAAGGCCATGGAAATGGGCTTCTTCCCTTTAGAGGGGTGTCTGGAGATAAGAGTTGGAACACATCAGTATGTGCTGTTTTGGCAATTGCCACTGCTGTATCTTATCCTGTATCTTTTTATATGTAGGAGATATTAGGCTCCAGGATCATCAATCATACATTTGTTTATTTTAATGAAAGGAAAGAAAGAAAGCCCCGGTTTCACTGGAAAATGATAAAGAAAAGCTTGACCTAGTGCCAGATTTAGAATGATTAAAGGGAGGCTGTTATTTTCCCCATCTTTATAGATTTGTGTGCTGCCAGCTCATGGGCCCCAGCCTGTCAAGTCAGGAGAGCAGGCTGGAGCAAAAGAGCTGTCTTTTTCTGAGCTCTTCTGTATGTACCAACTGTAATGATTAGTCTGAGGTCAGGCTGGAGTGAGCACTTTCCCCCTGAGGAATAGCATCACTGTATGATGCCAGAATCAGCTGGCACAGGCTGATTTTCCTTTACTGGATTATCCTCTTCCATCTGTCTGCCTCCTCTTCCTGTGACCCCCGCAACCCATGCTCAGAAGCATGCTTCAGCCCGCCTGCAGTGCTCATCCAACTGGCAACTCACCCACAGCTGCTCTGGTAAAGGATTTGGTGGGCTATTTCCTGTCCCTAACTCCCACCCTAAGCCATACGCTTTCTTACTTTACCTAGACACAGACACAGATGTACTTGCACAACAATCCGCTTTATCAGCCTGGGCCATTTCATACAGTGGAGATTTACACTCTCTGCTGTCGTGGTTACAGCCTGACTTCACTGGCTAGGAATGAGACTACTGTATGATCTCCTAAGCTGAATAGGCATTTGAAGGGCAGTTGCTTCACCGTGAACATTTTATTTATTTCTTTACTTCAGAAGTAAATGGTCAAGCCATCTGTTTAACCTTATTTTGGGCCAAATCTCCCCTACTTAAAGACTCTTGAAGCCGCTGCACACACGTAACAAATGGGAGAGTTTGAACCATTGATATTCAGGGCTGGAGCGATAGATATGATTACACAGGCTCTCTGGGAATGAAGCAGTGTGCTATATAACAGTTCCTTTCAGATGCGTTTGGGCAGTAGATCATTGTTTTCTTTTATAATAAGGATTCCCATTTGAACTACAGCTGAATTGATTCCAATTCTGTGAGAGACTGTTCCAAAAGAGACTTTATTTTCTCTCATAAAGTGCACCCTGCAGTGGTTCTTCCTTTTGTTTTTGCTGGTAAAGTTTGTAAAACATTTACTGAGAAGGGTGTCAAGATGTAAGTTTTGCTGGACCAAGGTTTATTTTCCATTCAATCATACCTGTACCATAGGAGAAAAACATAAGCTTGAACTGGTGTAACCGAACACAGAATTTGACTTATCTGATTTTGAGCAATTCTTGTAAAGCCTTAAATTTTAGTTTATTTGAATTCTTGCAAAATAATCTGTGACATCCTAGGCAGTCCTCTTGAGAAATGTATTTCTTTCATCTAGCTGTTGTCATTTGGTCTTCTGTAACCTACTTTTTTTACTTGCAAAAATACAAGAATTGCCACATGAGATTAGATACTCTGGTATTTTGCATCCATATGTAGCCACTATTAATTGCTTCAGGAAAGCTGTAAAGGTCTCAGTAGCAAATACTTACTAAATAACCTAATGCTGATTGAAATTACTTCTTTCTACCTGTCTTAACTTACGAAAAGTTGGTTATGCCCAGCACGATATCCTTCAAAGCGTTTTTGAATTGTCAATCAGTGAATTGCACCCTCTGCCCTGGTGTATTTTCTTTCCCTAGGAAATTTCTATTTCTTTCCTACATGCTGCTGAATTCCTGGCCTCAGTGACTCTCTCAGTGAGTGCTCAGATTCTTCTTTTCTCCTTTACAGGAGCTGGACTTTACCTCTTCAGATTAATACTTCAGTTTGATGTTAATCTGGGCCACTTCTTCCCCACTCTGACATTCATCTAAATCGTTGCACTTATACAGCAGCAAGAGCATTCACTCAGTGCTGCACAAAGCCAGTGCTACACATTTACACAGCCTGTGTATTACTGATCCAGTATCTAGTGATGACACAATCATTTCCTGATTTTTTCTTAAGTATCTTCATTCTGACCTCAAAGGCCTGTTTCCCTCTTCTTCCACTCCTCCTTTCTGCTTGTCTCAACAGCGTGTGTGCTCCCTACTCGCCTCACCTTCACCATTAGAGTAAGGTCTGCGGTTTGCTGGACACTCTCCCTCTCATTTTATTTCATTTATTAGCTTCAATTCCAATTATACTGTATTATGTCGTGTTTGTTATCTTGCATTCTGATATCTTTTTTTAGTAAATTATCTTTCTTCCTCAGATCACTGCCACTGTTTTGTTTTTAGGCCCATTTCCCTACCCTTCCCCCTTTTCCCTTTTCTCTTCCCTGCCCCATTAGTCACAGAACCGGGCTGATCTGATATGTAAACTGTTGACAGTAAAATATTGCAGGGGAATATTAACTCATGTAAAACTTTTATAATTTTCAATGCATTATTCATCATTCTGATGTTTTATATATATATATGTTTGTTGTTTGTTTTTTAAGTCTTAGATGACAAGCAGATAAGGCAACACTATCTTTTAGTCATCCATCACAGAAATTGTGCATAAAAGAGTGACAATTTTTTTCATTTGCAGTTCATTGATTCTGGGTTTTAGTCCCATCGAGACATCTAGTATGCCCCAATGGCTTGCTTCTCCCTTATTTCCATTCAGTGCTTCTATTTTCTGACAGCATTATTATCTTTATTATATGAAGGGATTAACTCCAGAGTTTGCTGTTCACTTTGCCAAAGGGTGAGGTGATGAAGGCTCTCTGCAGCTAAATCCCTTAACTACTCTGTACTCAACACACATGGGATTCATCTAGCTGATTTCAGAAATACCACACACGCACAAAAAAACCCAACACACACACACAAAAGGTTCCTAGAGCATTTTATCAAAAGGGAAGAGTAATGAGAGGGATGGGGGCTAATATAAGGAGCCTCTCACCTGTAAGTCAATAGTTCAACTACATGATAAACAGAAGTTGGCTACTCTTTAGTCTTTGGTTTTGTGCTCCTTCTAGTTCCAGCATGCAGCTGCATAATAGCAAGCGCTACCAGCTCCAGCTGCAGGGCAGACTGTGTGTGTGACCTGTAGACAACTGAACCCTAAAACTAATTTTAAAAGTAGCATTTGTACAGATTTACACTGCTCCTGTACAACTTTCATAACAGAGAGAAAGCATATGAAAAGCTGTCAGACCAGTGCTAAACAAAATTGAAGAGGAATGCACTTACTGATCCTACTTAGCTGTTTAGGTGTGAATTCTTGGCCTTATGTGTACACCTCCTGAATTCTTCTGGATTTAGACATAGGCCTCTGAAAGATTCAAGTGTATTAACATGGGATCTCTTACAGAAGGCTCAAGGCCAACATGATACAGGCCCCTGCTTTACAAAGTGCTTGTCAGATTTTTCAGCTGAAATTTTGGCCTTTGGCATATGTCTAATGTTTTGAAGTTGCTTTAGAGAGAAAAGTCAGGAAGACGTGTGTGGAGTCAAACCTTATCCGAATTACAGCCTAGACCTGAATACTGTTCCACAGTGTTGATCAACAACACTGATAAATAGGGATTAACAAGGAGACACTGTAGTGGAGTCTGTAACATTGCCCTGACCTCAACCACAACTTTTCCCTGGGTATGAGCTTGCTTATGTTTGTGTGGTGCCGGATCTGTCTGTTTGCTGCCTGAAACAGCAGTCTGAACTGTGCTCAGGCTGGAAAGAAGAGCCAAGGTACATTACATCATACATTAGTAATTCAAACTACAGGCAGTTGTACCAGCACTTGCTGAATTTCTCTTTTTCTCTCTCTTCTCCTGGGAAGAAAGCTGTTCTCTATTACAATGAGTTCTAATCACATATTATGGTTTTCCTGGACTGTCCAAATGACCTGTTGGCAAGAAATAGCTCACTACTAAGTGAGATATAAATAAATAACAATAATAAAATATCATTAAACAGGTTAAAATGAATCACTGCACTGTAGCCAGAAGGAAGGTTTTGATAATTTTTTCCCAGTTCCCTGCACACAGAATGCTTCATAATTAACTGTCTCAGTGTTATATACGGCATTTAAGTGGGAACATCTATATTCATGTAGACCCCTGTAGACAGAATCTCTTAAGATTCTGTATAGCTGGTAGTTAAGTAAATAGATGTTATACTGAGGGCAAAAAAAAACAAACTTTGCTAATTACTTATCTTCCATTCCATGTAACCCAAGATTTCACAAGAATCTCTAGATTCTTCAATTCATCTAGCACTTACATTCAAGAAAGACTGACTCGATCCTGACTCAAAGTTCTCAATTATGGGAGAGCCAGTTACATATCTAGTTACCTTATTCAAATGGTTGATCTACCTCATATTCATTTTTGTCATATTACATTTATCTGAATTTGCCCCAACAATAATTTCCAGTCATGAGTTCTCATGAAGCTTCTCTGCTAGGGTTATCCATGTGCTGTTTTGGGCAGAAGCACACTGTTATATGAAAGCCATAAATTTCAAATCTTCCTGAGATCTGTTTACAAGTTCTTCATAAAGCAGCACGCAAACGCTACAAATTTTGCAAGGACTTCTGGTAGGGAATGTGCATGAGAGTTCATAGGAATGTGGTGTAAGTGACTAAGTTGGGAAGAATGAACAAACTAAGTAAGTTTTGCCACACCAATGCCATTAGGGAAAATTTC